ACACACACACACACACACACACACACACACACACACACACACACACAATGTACAGGTGATGCATTCTTGCCATGATTTAGTTCATTTGTCCAGATTGCTGTTCTTTTCAAGTACAGTCTCGCTGGGAACGCTTTAGCAGACCCCTCCAACCAGGGTCAAATTTAAACTGTTAAAAAGGATGGATTCAATTAGTTCAAGTGTGCCAACTCTCTGCCCACGCCCAACGTCAGCTGGGAACAGTTCTTCCTCCATCTTACATGCAACCCTTCACTACAATATCACCTGTGCCACTGCGTGTCACCCCCTACTAACAAGGGATTCAGTTCAGACTTGAGATCTAAGTTATGACCGCCACTCTGAAGCCAATAAAAAGCTGTCTAGTCTCTTCCTAGCATAATCAGTTATTACCTGGATGACCATGTACTTGAGCAGGGTTTCGAGGATGTAACAGGTCTGGTCATCTGCAACCTTTTCTCCGACCACAGCTGGAACCAGCGGGGTAATCTCCTCAGGCACCACCTTGGCTGCTCAGATCGACGGATACAAAAGAGCGGAGTTAATTGTAGGAAAGCGAAAGTTCCCCACTAAAATAAAAGGAACCTACACAATTCAATATCAGTTTTAGTTTGTGACAGATGAGCTCTAGAAATGTCTCAGAGTCTATGTTGTAATAAATTCATCACACATGTAGAAACATTCACCATCAGGGGGGTTGGAATAGGGGTTGTAGATGATGGAGTCGAGGGTGCAGGGCCCTCTGGAGGAGGGCACAGCAGGGAATCCTGGCACCAGACAGGCAAAGATAAGGAACTGCTCCTCAGCACAGTTGTCCCTAAGGGCCTGCAGCCACAGCAGGAAGAGACGGATCCCTTCACATCGGATCTAGACAGGAGGAGATCGGGACGCATTAACGGCCACACAAAGGAGTAGTGCTGTAGTGAGTCAGGAGGCTGGAAGACGGGGATTTGTGGCAATGATCACAATGAAAACAGCACGTACCTTGAATGAATTTCCAGTGTGTAGAAGTTTTTTCAGTATGGAACCTGGAAGGAAGAAAAAGCCAAATATTCAACAGAAGTCTGATACACGACAAGCAGAAAGGAACCCTCTTGTCATCTCCACTGAGGCAAATTGACCTTAATGGCTGGTTCTCACAAACTAGTGGGGAGAGCGGCAAGGCGTCACTTTTTATTTAAAAATAATGTGGATGAGTTTATGAGTGTGTTTGTCTGGTGCTTTCATTGTTCTCCTCTCATCAGGTTCAATCAATAACATTTCTGTGTTGGACCCATAAAGAGATCCTTTCAGAAGGTGTTGGGCTCAGGAGAGAAGGAATTAGAAGTTAGCCGACAAAGGACGATAATAGGTGTGAGGATTTTCCGCCAGCTACTAATGGTCTGTGTCAACTGTCTGTGACCTTGCAATCCTCAGCTAAAAAGGACAAAAGCACTACAAGTCGTTAATGTCATTCCTAAGCTTCCTGACCCACAATAGGGAATTTGTCCTCGGGCACTAAAATGCTTTCAGCAATTCAACCGGCCTGTAGAATGTGTAAAGATGTGAAATAAACGTTTCAATTCAATTAAAACTCAGATATGGCAAGAAGCTATCCAGCCACCACCGCATATTCTTCAAAATAGAAGTACACAGTGAAAGCACCGCATCTTGACCAGTGACATGTGAACTGATGAGTGCCAGAGAACATTCAATGAGAGTTCAAGAAAAAGCCAAGAGGCAGCCTTAAGCCTGCGGTGGTTTGTTGTCCAATGACTGACAGAGTGGTGAATTTGTCTGGAGCATCCAACCCCAGATGAGTCTTGATGATATTTGCAATTGCAAGCCCGAGGGGAAGGCCAATCTCCAACAGTGATCTAGACCCAGACTGCTACCTGCCAACGGCTGACACACAACAGTTATAATTGGGGTTATCGCTTCTTGCAAGGGGCTTTTCTTTCTTTTTTGTGTGTGGGACTGAAATCATGGCGGCATAATTCAATTACTTATTTGCATTTCAAATTAAGGGCTCATTTGCATTTTTCACATTTGCATCCCCTTCTAAGACTAATTATTTTCTCTTCATTATGAAAGGCTTAGGCATGGTGGTGGTGGCCATTTTTTTTGTCCTAAAGTGTATCTTCACAGATGCATAAGCAGAAAGACGCAGACACAGTATATAACTACCCGTCAGGTGTAACAGAGAGACAACACTCAGCATTCTAAGTATTTGAGAAGGTAATAAAAAACAACAACATACCTATACTGTGAAACTGCCATCGGTTGTAGATTTTCTCGGGCAGATGTTGAAGAATTTTCTGATGAAAAAATAGAAAAAGTTATGATTATAGTTTGTTACATTTCAGCAATAGTGATAGCATAATGTCTGCAGTAGGTCACAGAGTTGGGCCTTTTTCCTTAAGCACGGCTCCAGGCTTCATTCTGAGGAATACATTTTCTTTCAGAGCTGAAACGATTAGTTGATTATTCAATTAGTCGATCAACAGAAAAGGAATTTATTATGTAAAAAATGGCAAACATCCACTGGTCTCTAAAATGTAAATGTGTTCTGGTTTTCTTATGTGACAGAAAATGTAATATCTTTGGGTTTTGGCCTGTTTTTTGGCCGGCACACAAGGCCTGGCAGCTTGTGTGCCGTCATTTCATAGACCAAACAACGAAACGATAAATCAAGAAAATAATGATGCAATGTTGGAAACAATTGTTGTTTGCAGCCATTTGATCCTAAATAAGGGAGGAAACGCCAACTGACTTAGTTTTGGTAAGTGGCGCTGTTCTGCCAAAGAAGCCTACACTTAAGGAATGCCGTGTCCTTGCCCTTTCCCTCCACTTAGCCTTGCATGTCTGCAGATCCCCGCGACACAGGACGGCACTAAGAAATGTCATCACCTCGCCAACAACCGCTTTACAACTCAATTAGAGCGCCCTAACCTTTCAGCAGCCTATCATTATTCTTGAATGCAGCGACAGGTTAACTGGGTCCCTCAGGAGAGAGGGGGGACGAGACGACAGATGCGTATTTAATAGTCGATGCACTGTGAGCAACTGATGCCCCCCAATGGCTCACTTCTTATCACATCCTAATCACTGACCCAATAAGACTTCATGATTGCAATGGGGAGGTCAAGTCTGTCCTTTGCTGCTTTACGTATGCAGCTCCGACCCACTCAACCAGACAACCAACTCTGACCGGTATAATAAAAGGCTGAGCTGCCCTCGAGAGTGAGAAACACAGGCAGGAGAGAGATACAGAGCACGACCAGAAGAAGAAACAATGTGCATGAAAGAGCCACAAAGATGAAGTCCTTTTGAGTGAATACAAATCTTTGGCAGTTTATAAAAAATAAACTAGTAATCTTTAATACATGTCATTTTTACACAGTAAAATGTAAGTATTATTTAGCTTGTTTCTGTTGTTTATTAAGACAGTTTATTTGTTTTGTCGTTAAATATTAATATTACCACGACAGAACCGTCTTAAAGATGGTATACGCTGACTATTCTTTTGCCCGGTGCTACACTACGCTGAGAGCTGTGGTGGTCCAGAAGTCATCATGTTTCGAGTGTCTCAGTTTGTCAACCATGTCCTTCTTCCCTCGTCATCCTCCATCTTTAACTTTCCCTTCTTGTCCTCTGAGACTAAATCCCCGTCATTACCAGTGGCAGCGGAGATGTTGAAAGACACACATTGCTTAAAGGGGGGGGCTCTGGATGACTATCTGTGCTGTTCAATTTCTCTCTGATCCAACAGACGTGATGGTATGCGTGTACAGGCGCGGGGCTGCACCTTGCTATTGATCCACAGGCTTGGAACTGGCCTCCTTCACTCCGTCTCCTTGGGGCAGCAGACACATTATGCTAGGCGGCAACACAGCAGGGTAGCCTGCTTAAGCCTTTCCCTGTGAGTGAGTGTGTGTGTGTGTGTGTGTGTGTGTGCAAGCAGACACAATAACACTTTCTCTCTCCTCAAAGAACACCAGGACGGGAGAGGGGGAATGAGATGGAGAAGCTAGCTCAGAAAGACTCCCTGCGGAGCTGGAATGGTGGCCCGCAACAATGAGGACTTTACTGGCTGATACCAGGCGGATGGAGAGTCTGCCGTACTGAAGGTTGGTGGAGTTACTCTAATCTGCAGCCGTACTCCGGCATAAAGATGGGAGCATTACTGCGGTACAACTACAGCCTTAACGCATTTACATGATCCGCACTTAGGTTTCCAGTCGCAGGGCCTGAACATGACGCAGAATACACTTCTCCGAGAGGTGGTCCACGAGGGGGACAGACAGGCAGCACTCTCAGGAGGAATGTAGTCATTCACATATTGTGTAGGTCTTTGATAGAACTCGGAGATTATCATTCCGTCTAAAAGACAATGACATCTCCTGACAGTGGCTTTGCTGTGTGTTAGTGGGTTAGTGCTTTGTGTCTAACACAAGATGTCCAAAGCAGCAATTAGAAAATTAACAGCTTTTAGTAAAACACAGTGTATATAGTGTCGGGAATAAAGTGCAATACTGTTAATAAGTATCGTCTTTGCAGTACAACACGTTTTGTTCTACAACGGAAACTAAAATCACCTGTCGGCCTCATGGACGGTGTGCCAAAAGACGTCAGTTACACCACTGCTTTGTTTAAAGTGCTTCACAGGGTGAGTCCAAACACTGGAGACATAACCAGGCTGCTTATTTACATGATAACCAAATGTCTAAGCTCGCCCCTCATTATTTGTTGGTGAGTAAATTTAAGCTGACATGTGTATATCTCATATGACCCTAAAATATAATGAAGTTTAACTTTTACTTTCTTGAGTTTTTACTTTAGGATCATTTACCAAAATACACTGAAGTCTAAGCAGAATGACTAAGATGTTGTCGTTCTCCTCAGCAGCCAGTGGGTGGCAGCAGCAGAGTGCAAACAAACCAACAGTCGGTTAGTACAGCCCTCAGGGTTTCCTCTTTGCTCCATGTGTGTGTGTGTGTGTGTGTGAGTGTGAAAGTCAAGCTGCAGCAGGCTTCCTCTATAGCACACGTGTCAAACTCAAGGCCCGCGGGACGAATTCGGCCCGCCACGTCATTTTATATGGCCCGCGAATCCACCAGCAAAAAAAAACAACTTTTTTTTTTAATTTTGGAAAAAAATTAAAAGTTAGACTTGAAAATAAAAATATCCCCATGGTCGAAATTATGAGATAGAAAGTTGAAATTATGAGATAGCATGTTATGAAGTATTATCACCATGGCTGGACATTGATTACTTGTCCTAACATTCACTTGGTAACAATATGGTTAATTAGTTATTACCCCTTTTTTAAAAACAGGTGGACAGGAGAGGGAACAGCCCGTAAAGCGGTTTTCCAACAAGTGATTGAGTTGAAAAAGATCGACAAATAATCCCAAAATGTCCACGAAGAGAAAAATTGATGCAGAGGGAAGAAGATGTAATGGGGACATTAGTGATGCAGAGAGGTGACAAAAATAGCTTTGAACAAAGTTAATGTAATAACTTGTGTTTGATGATATTTGTATTTGTTATTTTCTTTAAAAGTTTGATCTTTGATAGCGTAATGTGGGTTTCCTAACCCTAAATTAAAATGATTTATGTTATAATAACAGAAATGTGCTTAAATATCATTTTACATTTATATAACTGCATATACAATATTTTTAGACTTGAATAAACTAATCAAAAGCAGAGAGAGTTATTGAACAATATGTTAGGAGTAGTTACAGTTATACAGTCTTACAGTTACAACCGGCCCTTTGAGGGAAACCATGATGCTGATGTGGCCCGGAGTGAAAATGAGTTTGACACCCCTGCTCTATAGGACCGTTCGGAAATGGTTTGCATGATCAGAACAGTGCCGGACAACAGCAGAAAGCTGAAGGACACGTCAACAAATTCATACATTTATAAAAAAATAAAACAAATGCATCCACGAAGTGTTCATAACTTAAAGACAAGTACCATTTTAACACATTTCTAATATCCTCTTACTGGTTTTGAATCTGCTAGTGGTTGTATTCTATTTTTGATTTCATGCTTTCCTTTCTTTTATTGCTGCATTGTATTATGTATCAATGGTTGAGGAAGAACTTTAAATCTGCTCCAGTTTGAAGGGTAAACGCGGGCACAGGTTAAAGCATTATCCTCATTAAGATGCATTTACTCAGCCGGCTCCAAGTGCGCACCCGAGCTACACTTAGTACATTTGCATTCATGCATTAACCAACAACCCCCCTGCTGGTGAACTGTCAGTCATAACTAGGACTGCATAAAGAAATCACTTCGCTAAATGGCCTTGTGTTCATTCTTCAGCAACATGTAAAGTCAACATGTAGAGGAGAGTGCCAGTGAATCAACCCCAAGACGTGCGTCGGGAGGAATACGATGCCATTACACCAGGCAGGAAAAGACACAGAGTGACGCTGTGTTCTTTAATTACCTCCTTACTAATTACTAACCATTTACAGACACGGAGCTTAAATGGTGCATTTAAATGAACAGGAGTCACAATGAACCGTCTGTTCGCCATGAGCTATGGCAGGTGGACAACAACATGGCTCATTCCTCCTTAATTGGGCTGCGTTTGTGAAAGCTAGGGGTTTTTGGAAATAGCAATATCTTGCTGTTAGGCTGTCTTTTCTCCCTTTTCTGGATTCCTCTGCACACTGTGGTTTTCTGGAGAGAGCTGTGCTGTCATTTCTGACCCCTTAGATCTCCATCTGAAGTGGAAATCATGGTGGAATAAATGTTAAATCAGCTTAAAAATCACATTTATCCATCAAAAAAAAGGTTAGCTAGATATAATAATCAGGTATACCCATATAAGGCAACTCAGTAAGTCAAGTCTCAAATCTAGATGAGGGGATTTTTACAGAGCATTACGAGGGGCATTCAGAATGCTGAGTCAGGTCCGGGTGACGGACGACAGGTCACGGTGAGGTCGTATCCTGGAGAGGGAGAGAGTGGGAGTCTTGTTGGTCCCACAGCTGTCCCTTAACCTGTCCCACAACCTCAGTGGCACCAGCATCGAGCTGCTTTCAGACAGTGAGAGCTCATTTACAGTCAGACAAACCCGAGTCCCTCGAGCCCCAACAAGCTCAATCTAGTCTTCTGGCAGCAAAAACTATTTTCTACCACAGAGAGTGGTCTCATCTGGTTTCATAGCATCCATAGTGTCCGTTTAAAACAGCTTTTCAGTAGCTTTCTATATTTTTATTTATATATATATTTTATTTTTACATATTTACATCTATACGGCGGCAAGGCGATCAGAAAGAATGCATCTAGACTCCAACACAAACGTCTGCCAGAGGGAAACAGACATAATCCCACTGACAAGGACGTCGCCTCACACGCCTGCCTAGTATTGACGCTCTGAAACTTTGCGTCAGGCTCTGACAACAAGCTGCGTTGGGAGCATAAGGGAACAGCAGCGTTGCCGTTTCAGGACAGAAAGATTTTGTTCACTCGGCTCTCTAGCTTCACAAGCCTGTGGCTCTTGGCGGCCTCCTCTCACTGCTGCCCATCCCTCACTGACAGACAGCTTCCTCGACTGACCTCAAAGTTCCTTTTGTCTTCATAGACTGAATCCTACTCCCCCACAGCAACCCAGGAAAAAAAGGGGGTCACATACCTCATCATGACAGTGGAGTAATCCCCACATAGCCAGCTCAAAGCAGACACACACGCTGCACACATGTACTGTGTCGGTCAGCCAGATTTGAATGCGGGAAGGGACTCAGGTGATGGAGACGGCGGGGACGGGGACGGGGCTATGACTGGATATGAATCCAGTGAATGGAGACATGAGGACACAACTGTGGCTTTACAGGGAAAAGACAGAGGGACAGGGATGTGGAGCTGTCGTCCAGCGTTAAAGTGTGTTGCAAAATGGCCTTTTGTCTCAGCCGTTGTCCATTGACAGCCACCGCTCTGAGGCTCTTTGGACAAAGGCTGCTGGGGTTGATGTTTTGGTTGGTTGACCTCAGTGACTAAAACAACTGACAGGCATTTATAAAAAGAAGAAGAAGCCTGAGAATTTGGGTTTATGATAAAATAAACTAGAATGCACAATCCACTAACTAATATTAGTTAATCTTTCACCGCATTTTGTCATGTCCCTTTGCTACATTACATCAGCTCTGGGAATACACGGTACACATTAGCGGTGCATGCTTTGTGAGCACAAACGTATCCATTGATATCATATTCACGAGCACATAGGATCCAACACGCCTAATCTAATGTGGCGTACAGAGAAAGTCTGCAGAGTGCAGCAGAGCTCCGGATCAAAGCAACTCTGTATCTGTCCTGTACACACCACTCACAGCAAGCTTATCTGCTCAGCTCACGGGTAAGAGCACACGTTGGCACAGGCAGGGGCTGAAAGGGGACAAATGAGGGTTAAGCTGCTTTCAATATTAGTATAAAAAAAGAGAAAAATGACTCCATAAATATGTAGGAGGTATGAATCCGGGCTGTTATTTACAGGTCAGATGACTGGATGTGTGCGGACAGGTGTGAGTCCACTGATCTCAATGAGGATTTTCATTTGAATCAATTATCAAAATATCTACCGAAAAACAAGCTAAGAAGCACATGAATTACACACCTGAACCATTGAGTCTGGCATCAGCGGACGCACTAAAATGCACAAAAGTACGTCATGCCTCACCCAGACAGAAGAACCAAAAAAAAAAGATGTAACATGAGCGTGATAACATGAAAATAAGAGTCCGAGCTGTACGAGATAAGCCTGACTAGCAAATTAAGAATCCATAGCTAAAGACAGATAGCAGCAGCGTCTGGCCCGATGCTACTTTGTCAAACAAATGAAATATGCTCTCTTTCTGTGCTTTTTGAGCCGCAATGACTTCCTCTACGTTAGGCGTAACACTCCCACAAAGTTCTCCCAGGTGACCAGAACAACTAGGACAAGACATACTGTACCAAGAGGGACAAACAGACTGCCCTCCGATTTATTTTTTATTTTGTTGATCTGCTGCCATCCTTACAGCCCTGCACTGACCAAATGTAACAGGAGAGCTGGCTGTTTGTATTGGAAACTGGAGCTGCCTTTGGAGTCAGGCGGGAAAACAAGGTGGGGGACTTTAACCTGCATGTGCGACATAAGAGTGTTCAGAAGAACAGAGGGAGGGGCCAACCAACAGACACGCCTCCTCTGATTTGCATGCACACCTAGGTTTTAGAAACAAGGAATGAGCTGACGGCGTCGAAGGCTTGAAAATGATTGAGCGAGGCTTTTTTTTATTTTTATTTTTTCTTCATCTGCACAATCTCCGAATGATTTCCAGGCTATTTGAGGCAAATTCAGGAAGTAGCCAGAGTTACGAGCAGTATGGCGCCATGGAAACTACGGTTCCGCCCCAGAGATCAGCGGTAAACAGGTTGAGGCTCTAGCGGCTATCAGTGGAGATCAGAGATGGAGAACAGTAGCAGAGAAAGAGACGGATGACTTACTTCAAAAATAAAGAGGATAGAGTCCAGCTCCTCCCTTTGAGATTTGTTCCCTGAAACACAAGAAGATTACTTAGGCTTTTTAAACACAGAACTGGGAGGTAGACTGCATTAGCCCCATCAATAATGCAACAATAATACAGGCCATCTTGTGGACAATTATTCAAAGGAATTTGTGTTACCATGAGAGCACACTCCCAGTGGGATTTAACCCCCTAACCCCCGATAGTGTTGGAGGCGGGCTCACCACACACAGTCATAAGCAGAAATGGCTCCTCTATGCTCATATAAACCCATACTAAACCCTTAATAAACCCTTGTTCTAACATAGAGAGCAGGCAGAGGGTTAATTATTAAACCACCATCGAGGGTGGTGGGCAACTAGTGAGTGTGCAGTTCAAAATAAAGAAATAACCTTTGAACTCACCTTTTAGTTTTAAGTTGCTTTCCAGTGTAATGAAATTTTCATAGAAGATAAAATAAATCTGAGAACAGTTGCCTTCGAAGAACGCCTTCAATTCACTCTTGTCAATGATATCTGTGAAGGAAAGGGGGAAAGTGTCATGACATCTAAAATAGAAAACAAAGCAGGCTATATAAATATAGAGTGTTAAACCTTTTAGAACCTTAAATCCAGACATGGGGAATAACTTTATGTCGGACAACCCTCTCTACCCATTGAGCCACGGCCACCCCCGTTAATGATAGTCAGTTGTGTGTCCACGTGTCAGTGTTCATCTCAGTGTACAGAAAGTTGAACTACAAAATCCTACAAACAAACCTATTTTATTATTTAATTATTGCTCCTGAGCAGTCCCGTGAGTGCATTTCTTTCTTCTCAAGCAGCTACGTGACTCGCTGTCTCTTTAACTCAGAAGTGACACTGTTGAGCATCACTGTTGCCCCAACGACTTTCCACTTGTTTCCCATTGTTGCAGACTACATGGGTTTTGCAACAAGGCAAACCGCTTCACTTCCTTATTCCGCGTGACTTCACTACTGCTCACCTGAGCTTGCATCAACGTGCTGCTGAACAAATGTTCCACTCTCAATCCACAGTTCCTTCAAAAGGTTTTCAGTCACCGTTCGGGATTAGTTTGACGTGTCAGTTGAGATGAGTTTAGGGATTATTTCATGGTGGTTGTGTGGTGTTATGGAGATGGAGAGGGGTGGTTTGGATCAAGGCCAGGCTGAGGCACGTTGACCGCCACACCATTAATGAGAGAAATAGGTAGTACATGTGTACAGTCGCAAACAGACTGGCACTGACAAAAAATGCCAAAATTCTCCATTAGATGAACCCCCCATCATTTATCATACTTACACAACCGTGGTAATGAGATAGGCCTGGTCTGAATAATCAAATATAGGCCAGGAGGAGTACTGGCACACTAACCGCAATTAAGGTTCACCTTCTGTTGCAATTCTCCCTCTGCCACATGGCAAACTGGAAGACTCCCAAAAGCTGTCCAGCTCAGGGGGAGTGCTGGAATTATGCAGTGTGTGACAAAGATTCAGATTATCTCTGCCCCGAGATTAAAGCAGAGATAATGAAGATGCATGATGGGAAGATCAAGTCCAATGCAAGACTGCCATTAGTTTTCCTCCTTGACGTAGGAAAGACCAACAAGGCATCATCCGAGGACGCCAAGTGGGCGACATATCACACTCATTTCCAGGTTCATACTTGTATTTTGGGGTTTCTACTAGTTTATATTCTTTAAATGTTTGACAAACCATTTATTTTCCTGTCTATCTCAATATACCTGCATTCACCCTCTGTCTGAAAGGCTCAGCTTAAGCGTGTTTTAACTGAATTCCACTCTGTGTCTTACACACTGAAGAACACGTCCGATGCTTAAACTCTGTCAAAGTAGCAACGCTAGAATAAATGCTCCTTGCTCCTGGAATTAAGCTAATCACATCTGCTTAACACACGTTTAAGCGTAAGCACACATTTCACGTCCTAACACACACACCGACTGGAAAACTGAAGGAACACTTTAATGGTGGGGGTAACGGTTGTCCGTGCAGCGACTTAGTCTTACAGCCAGTAAGATGTGCACGGAGCACTTGCTGCAACATCCAACACCAGAGGCTGTGGACCCAGGCGCAGTCTGCTGTGGCAAAGATTTTTATCTGACTTGTATAATGACAAATATGCAATGTATACACCATTCATATGGTGTTTAATTACAAAAAATGATGACAGCCCATCACATGGTTCAGTCCTCTAATGCTCGGGAGGGTTTTCCTGAATCCTGGTTAGCCTGCACGCTCTGGAGAACAGTGGACGAGAGGGAAGGAAACCGAATTTTGGAGGGCGCGAGGGTCAGTGTAGGTGTGTTGTTGTCGGGACAGCTCGAGCATGTTTATCATACATATCACTGAGTGGGCTGATGTTCAGATAAAAACAGGTTTGAGACAAATTACAGCTGACTTGCTAAATACTCTACATTCAGCAAACTCCCCCAGACGACAGACAAAGAGCTGCTCTGGTCTGTGTTCTATAATTAGACCAGAGCTTTAAGATCAGTTCCAAGGATAATGATGTAATGCCTAAATCAATTTTAATGTAGAAAAAAACACTTTATTAATACATTTCTTAATATCAAACAGGTCTGATCCGTGTGAACGTCGTACCTGTGTGCATGAGAGAGACAAAGAACAGAGAGGAAGTCTGTATGATAATTATGCAGCTGATTTGAATATTGTTGCATGCGTGAAGAGTAGATGGGGGAGGGGGG